GCACTATATATATATATATATATATATATATATATAATATGGAGGTCTTTCATGCTGAAAGATCTCGTTGGTAGCATATAGGGTGCTTGCTGGATACACTACCAGATAGCAAGACTACCAAGTTAATTGATACATGTTTCTCGATAGTTCGATCATTGCCACTTGTCTAAGACAGACGACTCCTGCCACTGGGCTCAGAGGATGAGCTTGAGATTCACAGGTACATACGGTAGAAGTGGTGAAATTATCTTCACTGGGCAAATGCCCTGTGCCTTCCGTACGTCTGATTGTACGTGACATCTTAACAAGCACGCCAGTGACAGTGCATGTCCCCTCGAAGGTAAATGAAATTGTTCGCTGTAGATCATCGTTTTCCGAATACGGAGTGGACGTTTGCAAACACAGCTAAAACTGCCCAGTAACCTGTAATGAGACAACTAGCAAACCAAGCGCTACATGTAGCGATCCTGACTGAACTTCAAACAGAGTAATACACCTTTAGAGTAAACCTAGGCAAATGCTACAACTCAGTCATAGAAAAGTCCCAGGAACAATTTTCCTCCTCTTTGAATGAAAAAACGACAACCCCGGTCTTCCAGTGGCTCAAGAATCTTCCTCTTCGCATCGTTTGCGCGAATCTCCCAACCAGCTTTTGAACATGAAATGTTGGTGGAATTGGTCACGCGATTGTCAACTTGAAGAGGCTGTTGCAGTCTGAACTCCTGCTCACTCACTTCAACCACCAACTGCCTAACGTTCTCATAACTGAGGCATCGAACCGTGCAGATAGTGAGTCATTGTTCACACATTCCCTGATGGTACGCAAAAGGCGACCGCTCGTGCCGCAAGGTCGCTGGCTCCAAATGAACGGAATTGTGCTCAGATTGGGAAAGAAGTGCTAGTCATTATTTTTTCGGTGAAAAAGTTCCACAAAATGCTTTGCGGCCGACACTTGATGCTTGTGACGGATTACAAGCGACTGTTGATTATATTTGGTTCCAAGAGAGGTATTCCGGTATACACAGCCATCCACCTACTGCGGTGGGGCACGATTCGGCTTGGTTACAACTTGACCATAAGGCATGCCATATTCGAGAAATCTGGGCAGGCCGATGCGCTTACGCGCTTGATTGTTTCCAATGAGAACGAAGAAGGTAGCGAACAAAGCTTGTTTTCTGTGGTTATTCCTCTCGGCTAATACGTCACAAATTTATATGGCACCGAAAATCACGTGGAAAAGTTTAAGATCGGGGGTACGTACACTTTAGAGGAATAGAAATCAAAGGAAGGGGGTTGGGTGAGGGAGAGGTCAATAGGTCAAGGAATCCGGTAAGTGACGTCAATGTCAAGCAGGCTTGTGGGACCGGATGTTTCGTAGGCCAGTTCAAGTTCAGAGGTCGCACAAGTTTCTTTTGGACGCAAAGTTGCGGATCCAGCAGTCGGATTCTAATCGCCTCTGCGATCGATACTAGTCTGAATCATACCAGTCGTGATCGGTTCAGAGGTACGCAGTTTATGATGGTGAAGGCTTGCTCCTTGTCTATGACATGGCTGGTTTCGGCCAAATGTGACGCAATCGCGCTTGAGCCTAGTTTTTCCCCCCGACCACTCAGAGATTTGGGATTGTGTTCTCGCATTCTGTCCGACAAACGCCCTGTCGTACGACCGACGTATGAAGTTCGGCACGAGCATACAAGTGAGTACACACAAAAGTTGGTGGTAGAGATGAGACGAAACCAGCAGAATCCGTCATAGTAACCCTTACCGTCCAACCGTGTTGTGGTCCTGGAGGCCATGAACCGACTACCCGTGACTTCTGACACCGTCCGTCATGCCACCAAAAATGAAAGCGTACTGCAGAAGGCAATAGAGTACCACTAATCGAGCTGACCAACAACTTGTCCACTAGCAGAACTCGGGCAACTTTTTCAACGACGGAGTTCATTATTTGTTATCAGTGGCTGTCTACTTTTTAGTGACCGGATCGGTTTCCACCACACTTCGTCGCCGGGCCCTAGCACAGTTCCACAACGGACTACCATCGATAAGCTGCCTGAAGGTCATCGCTCTCAGCTGCGTTTATTGGGCCGGTATGGATGAGCAAATTTGGCAGGTATGTCAGAGTTGTATCCGATGCTCAGCTGACCAGAAGTTACCCAACCGACAGTCGCCGCAGCCTTGGTCACAGCCAGAAGAGCCATGGTCACGCATTCATGTGGATTTTGCCGGATCAATTAACGGAAAAAGCTTCCTCATCGATGTTGATGCATTCAGCAAGTGGCCTGAAGTCCTTGTTATGTTTAAGACAACAACAATGGCAACCACCACCAAACTGTGGCATTTGTTTTCGGTATTCAATATCCCGGAAGCTATTGTGTCTGACAGTTCACATGTGAATTCGTTCGAAGACACATATGTCACATATGTCACTTCCTCACCATTCCATCCGCAATCCAATGGTCAGCGTAACGGTTTGTGGACACCCTTAAACGTGCGCTGATAAAAGTAGAAGGGAAAGGGACCATGGGACAAGTCATGGATACGTTCATAGTCTCCTGACGGTCACACTCCAACAGAGGTTATGATGAACACATGGCTGAGAATTACCCACAACGCCATCCTATCAGCATTTATGTGTTATCGATCACCGATAAGAAGGAAACCAACGTTTCGGTCTGAAAACCGTGTGACTGTGAGAGATTATCGTCCTGGGCACTGAAACTGGGTTGCTGTCGTCGTCCCCCAAAGAATCGGTAAGGTAATTTATAGCGTCCGGGTGGGATCGCCGATAAGGAAACGGAATTTCAATCGGCCAGGGCCGAATGAATGTCATATCCCAAGGGAGGAAGAGCAGTCGTTAGACGTCAATCTGTTGTTCGAAACCTTCGGTCTCTAAAGACCAGCACCAATAGCCACTTCTTCACTCGTACTGCCCGAAACAGACCCATTGCTGCAACCGAGACGCATCAGTAAACAGATTGGCGTGCGCCGATAATCTTTGGTTGAACGGCCAAAAGTCCGATTACTGAAGGTAATCCCAGAATGACCAAAACCTACCGAGTCCCAGGTTCCCCCATATTTTCAATGGGAAACTCCGCAGGCATTCGGGTAAGTCCATCAATCAATCAATCAATCAATTAATCGGTTACATAATTCAGCGACAATCTGGATCGTTGAAAAGTGGTATCCAAATTAGCAGGAAGCCCTTGGTAACTATTGCTCTCGGTGACTAAGAATAAGGCTGTTCTGTTCTTGTTGGCAACTGCTTTTCTGTCACCAAGGCTTTGGAACAGAAGGCAGAAGTTAGATGTGCCAGAAGGTGAGTCAAAGTCAAAAGCCTCAATCAAGTCAATCTCCTCAAACCTCCTTCATGAATAAAACTTACCCGTTCCAAGTCACCAGTAATCGCTTGATATCGGCCAAGAAGAAGTTGAAACACTGCACTTTGTGGATAGATGTCGAGCCAATATGTTAGTAGTTCGTTGGCTTCATAAACTTGGTCCGGTTTCTCAAAAGCTGTGGATTTGAGAAAGGAAAATAAACTTCTCACAACATCCTGGACTCATTTGGTCGCCAAAAACGGCCATCCATCCAGACAGAAAACAAAGGTGACTTGATGAGGTGGTCCAGGGGCGGAATACCCAGCAGCGGTCAAGTAAAACATAAGGTTGACGGAAACTCGGGGACTGCACCGACCTGATGAGCCCCAAGAAGGGCGAAACCGGTCGTGGGCTGTCAAAGAGTTTGCAGCAACCTTGTGAGTAGTTTCCTTTACGGTCATAATTCACTTCTGACATATTGCGGTTTGCTTGAATATTAGATGACATGACTTTGGAAAACATGGGTAACAGTTACCTGCGCATTTCATCAGGATGAGCAAATGAAACAAAAAAGCAGTGTGTGCTGACGATTCAATCTGTTTCAGAGACAATTTAGGGGGCGACGTCCTTGGTTGTGTCAAAAATTCCTGGAGGTATGGCCAAATATACTCATTTGTAAACCAATTTGGTTTTGCGAAAGACTCATCTGGAACCCGGCTGAATCTCTCGTTTATAATTTATTTTGCTAATTTCGTGCAATGCGGGTTCAGTCAGAACATGAAGCTGAGGAGATCTAGGAGACCGTGCCTACCTGATGAACCGAAGAAGGGCGAAGCTGGTCGTGGTCCCTGCAAGAATTTTCAGCAACCTTATGAGTAGTCTATTACGTCCTCAGGATATACTTGGGCGAAAGCATCAACTAAGAACTTTGAGTAGTTCATTCACAATATCCCAATACAGAAGCTAAAGAGCGATTACGAACCACATTATGAGGCAGGAACCAACACTACAGAGCGAAGTAGATCTTCGGCAGAAATACACATGCTCTGAAGAACGCAACTGAGAGACTTCCAACTGGTTCCCTTAACTTTTCATTAAGTTGATGCAGACTCATTCATGTACAAGATCAGCATATTGGTCACTATTCTGTCAAACAGCTCAAATGGAATGCACCACAAGTGTTGGGTCTGCGCATGGGTCAGAAGTTCATGCTAAAGGTCACGCTAAACTAAATTTTTGGGCACAGCGTCTATAAAAACACCGATCAGGCTCCAAATGGATTTATATGATGATTTATATGGTTAATGAATACGCGGGAAGTAGCTAAACGAGTTTTTCTCGCCTGACCAAAAATTCTTAGTTGCATATTCTCTTCGACAAAAAAGGCGTTTTCTGCTGGAAGCTATGACTCTAATTTGTCATTTGAATAAGCACACCGGATTCAACAAGGCGGACATCTAAAGAAGTCTTCGTTTTGCCTTAGTGAAATTAATCTGTGGGAGTAAGTATACTTCCTAACTGGTCCACTGTGCTGGGGAATACTCACGTAAACTAAGCTGAACTGTCTGTAATGTCAGCGATGGTGAAACTGTATCACAGGAACGAGAGCTTTTGAGAATGTCAGTAAACCTGAAATTTAATCACCAGTTCGTTTGGTCTCAGAACGTAAAAACGCACTTTAAGTCAGAAGTACTTCCCCGATAACTGAGTATTTGTATGACATACGTTAGTGTTATCTGACCTCCACCGATCATGTGTCTCAAATTTCAAAGTAAAGGAAATAGAAAATGAGGAACTTACCAACACTGGCGACGGTGTCACCTGTATGTAAGGTGGATGAAAAGGGTAGATACATGGTCAAATTTAGGCAAAGTAACTTCACTCGCGGATGGTCAGTGTGCAATCGAACTACGGTAATCGGGAGATTACATGTGTCTGCAGCCTTGTAGCCCACTTTGGTGGCATTTGTCTTTTCAAGACTCACTGTTTTGGAGAAAAATAACCAGCCATCGGCGAACAATTGCGCATGTTCGAGCGATTAAATACACAACTGTAACTTCTGGCCTATGGGGAAATTCTATTCCGTTCTGTCACGAATCCCCAGGGAGATTTGAGTTTGACACCTCGTAGCTATTAGTTTAATCGTATACCGTTTGAACACGAGCGGTTGATCAGCAACATGGTTACCTCAGAGCAAGTTTCGACATGGTGCCACTCATTCTTCAGTCACGGTATTCGCATCACGGGGTCACGTGTTGACTGGCTCTTTTAATGAAGACATCTCAGATAGAAGGCAGAAGATCCACGCGACTTGTGAGCTATTCAATCCTCTAAGCTACCTATTAATCATTGGAAGAGCGAGGAGAATTCCGGGCTTCCGTCTGTAGAGGTCACTCCTCAGATCACGTGTGACAAGCACTCAAACCACGTGACAATTCTTGTCCCACTTGCAACCTTAGTCAACAGCATGTACAGTAAAACTTCTCAACCATTTTTGTTTACGCGGCTACCACTTGCGTCACGCGCCAGGACCATGCACTTCATTCAGCACATCAACATCAAGTTGTATTCATGTTCGCGCAAGTATCAAACAAGAAGGAGCACCCCTCTCTTCACAATGCACACAATAAATGGGCATACAACTGGGCTCAGCACACACACTTGCGTGCACAGGTAGCAGGAAGTCAGCCACTCTCCACAAGTCCACGAACAATTATGGAACGCGTGTAGCGGTCATACTGCGGAGAAAACGCATCCCCGCCGTCCGGACTTTCACCAAGGAACTCCCACAGACAATAAGTGGCTTTTTTGACTTGCTCGCGTTTTGCATTGTATTTATTTTCATACATGTGGCATCTCACCATTGTCAACTATACTAAAAACATTTATTAGTGCAGATACCTTCTGATTTGTATTATGGCCATCATCAACTAGAGCACTCACACGTCTCATTGTTCCTTCCTTAGATTCTACTAATATAGAGCTAAAACAAACCAGTGGATAAAAAAACAAGACATACCGAGCATCTGTGTGGCGTAAAGCTCGTACACAAGGAGCAATAGTGCACTGAGAGGAGCGCGAAGGGAATTTTGTATCTGTGCTCCAAGACGCAACTGTTGAAGACCGAATAGCTGTAAAAAATTACAGAAGAAATCATATCAACGCTTTGTCCTTAACCGAAAAATATAAAAACATTTTCGCACATCAAAATGCGGGGAAATACCTCAAGCCATTATAAGAAGTTACAGCAATTCAGATGACTGAGCATTCGTGGCTATGTTTAGAAACGCTTCCTTGGAAAGTATACCGTCTTGGCGTTTCTGCGAAGGTGCTCCTGGAACTAGACAGTCACAGTGTCTTTGGAATAAATCAATCATAGGCAGCTAAGAAACTTTGGATCTTAACAACATATTAATGATAACATTAGATTCCAGTAGTTTCCTGAGATACAAATGCTGCACCATGGGTGAATGAGAAACCGTATGATCGAACGTTCCGTGTAATCAACTTAACAGATTGTCGAAATGCAAGTGGTGAAGGAGCAGCATTCACCCTGTTTCAACATCTTAAAAAAACTCACATTGACAGAAGCAGAAGAGGCTGAGACTGACGGCTGTTGCCCTGGCATACTGTGGTTGCAAACACTCGTAAGGGTGATGACAATTAATTGACGTCAGTCCATACAATCCTTTACAGTCAAGCCGTATAAACAAATATGTTGCATTCGTTTGTGAATTAGCGAACTGATGTGATAAAGTTTCATTGAACTGCATACCTTGGCCATCTGTCGAGGACGTACTGCAGACGTTTTCGCAGCTACTTCTTGAAACCAGAAGCTATTTATTGAGACTTGGCAACAGGTAATCGATTTAAGCTGGTTTAAAAATGAGTGGATTTCCTATTCACTTAGCACTTACCATTAACGTTGTCGTGGTTTGCATTTACTGTTTGCATGGGACTTTATTCAGCTTCCACTTGTCTCCGAGCCTTTCTGCTCAGTGAGACGCCAGCTTATCAAGTGTTTGTGTTTGCTCAACCGCTCTGCATGTGTTAAGTTTCTGCGTTGTGCTGTACTGTGATGTACCTTGGTGGCCTTAATTGAGCAGTTTTTGAGTTCCACGTTTCTCTACAGGAACTATCGACCCTGTTACTGCACTCAGGACAGTCTGATTTCAGAGCGTTCAGCGATCTCCTTTTTCGATGACTCGTTTGAGTGAATATGACTCGATAAAAAACTCTTAGTTTGGATGGTTCCATCCAAGCACGCCAAGTTTCCTCCGTTTATCCAGCGTTCTCCTGACGTACAGTTCACTTTGTATTCAGTATCGTAAATAAATATTCTCACGTGGTACAGAGTTTACTTGCTAGCCAGCAACCTCCAGTCTGGTAGAATCACCGACTGTGTGCGCTGCCTATTCCTTCGTGTTTTGTCAGACGCATTGTATCCTTGACGCTCTCTCACTCATCCTGGTTGACATGTCCACCTGCCTCCGTTGTGTTTAACAAAATGTTTTAGCGGAACTGGTTCCCGCGTGTACGCCATGCGAGGTTCTTTTGCGTCTATAGATTAGATCAAATGATGGTGCCTCATTGGAAGTGATCGGTCTATGATGAGCAGAAATTGCGTCCAATAGCTTCACATTCGAATTGAAAATATGACCAACCAGTTAACTTTTGAAATAGCGGTTTAAAATCTCAATGTGAGTGTCACACAACGATTTTCTCACTCTGAAGGTCCTCCAGTGCCATAGCCTCTGTTGAAATCCCCGGGATAAAAAAGTGGGCTCTGAATAGCGATCACTTCCCCAGGTATGCTAGGTCGCGCAATGTAATGTTCCTTGAAGAGATTCTCAGCTGTCATTAGTGTGAGTCCCGTTCGACGCACTGCACTACACCTTTCGGCTTGTTGTATGTTGTTGAAACACATTCATCCTTGCACTTGTGCAAGGTGCCTAAACGCATACTACTGAACATCACGTAAGAGTAGTCACAGTCAATTTGCAACTGGCTACGTGTCACCCGAACCTATCGATGTTGATATTATGCTAATACGCACGTGGTAGACTTCGTTCTGCACATCCACTTTTGCCACTAAGGTTTGATTCGTCAGCTCAGATGGGGTCGCTTGTGATTTCGATCCGGTCCTCACATGCTATTTTAATTCTTGTGAATCATCTCAAGATTTGTTACTCCTTGGCTAAATAGTGTAATCGAATCCACAAAAAATCTTCTATCGTCGGTCATTCGAAAATATTTGGATATTATTTGTTACTGAAATGCTGCATCGTAAAGATGCAATGCCAAAGCCTTAGTATTCGTCCTCAAGGGTTCTTGGTTGTTGCCCATCAAACAGGGAGTTTATGACAGTTCGTGATGACGAATTTTGTGATAGCAATATACTAACATCGAAAGAAAGAAAGAAAGCGTTCAACTGTAGCACCCCTCTGGTGCCTAGCTGTCATGCCACCCGAAGGAAGCACGAAGGCTGGTATACTACCAGGTTGCCCAAGCCTAGACAGGGGAAGCCAAGAGGCGGAGGTCGGATTCGAACCATGGACCTTCCGGTTAGTAAATTTGCGCTCCAACCACTTGGGCCATCTTACATCACTTTTTCATCATATTACTTCACTGCAAAGGTATATCATGTAATCGTTCCTCACTGCAACTCAACAAACGGGAAATGTTGGGAACGAATATACATACACTATGACTCGACGTCCCGAAGAACAGCGGAGACTGAAGGCAAACTCGACATCCAGCGGTAGTGGGGAACTCAAAGAACAGAGAACGTACACTGCGAAAAATTTAATTCTGATTGGTCTGTAGGGAAGATCTGTGACTGCGCATCTGAACAATTGACTTATCTGGCAGTTAGTTCTCCCTTTGCAATATAACCTGCCAGTGGGCGTCATTCTGGAAACCCGTCTAACATAAAGTCATTATATCCATTGGAATCTACAAATCACCGAGCATTTTCATCCCGGAAGAGCTTAATCTGGTAGCTTGTAAGAATAGTTTTATTCTGGCCTAGCCCAACTGGTGCTTTAGAATGTAGTTTTTTTACCTGTCGTCCGTAGCTTGGAGCTACGGATGAGAGCTGCGATCGGTGTTGCATGCCAGATCGTAAGCATCAACTCAGCTACGGGGTCAACATGGACCAAAGGTCAGATCACAAGCTACTGAACGAGAGATTCTGGTCTGAGCCTCTCCTGGCTTCCTGATTGTTCCTATCTGTGACTCAGCATCCTGAAATATCTTAATTCGCTTGTTTTCCACGGGATATTTGACGGTATGCTCCGAAGTGTAGGAGCACAGTAACCGATCTTATAAGTCTTATAAGTAATCAACAACAGCTGACCTAGTATTCACACTTAATGCATCAGTTGGGGTTCTTAGTTTCATGACGAATATAACCTCATTGAGATTTTTTAACGCTCATTTGAAGGCAATGTGGGATGAATGGGCAGAATCTGTTGACCATCCACTTTCATTTTTACGATTTCCACGAAACAGATAACAGCTTTTCAGGATAATACACATCGATGAAAAGTGTTTTTAGGCAATTTTATTGGTAAAATTTTCCAACCCTTAGAAGTGACGTAGTTGTTCATCTAGCCCTTGCTAGCTCCCATGAGAGGATTCATCAACCCTTCAAAGCGTGTTTAAATTTAATACGAAAAAGAGAAACCAAACTCACGCGATCCCCAGAGAATCCAACAAATTCTAAGAGTTTGAGGACACGCTTGGGGAGTAAAGAAATCATCTGAAACGAACAAAGGAAGAGAAACATTGCTGGATTAACGGTGTCTTAGGTGAGAAAACATAATTGGGCTGGGAATGCGAGCTAGAGTTTGTCGGCTTCTTTTCCTACGATGCCCGGTTGTCGCTAAAATCAATTATGCACTTTTGACTGTTACAGAGCCCACAGACCGATTGCTTGATAACTAGATATTAAAAGATAAGGCAGCCAAACTGGATCTTTGTTCTTGGGAAATCAGCGAAGCGTCGGTGTTGAAAAGTGATGTCATGCTATCGATGATGATGATGATGATGATACGATGATGATGATGACGATGATGATTATGGGAAATCACCTGACTGGGTCTGGGCGGTGGCACTGCAAGGCTTTGGAACCTCCAAATGTAGTGTCCTGAAAACTGCATTAGGATGGCTGTTTCTAATAATTTGACTTTAGCTGCCTTTTATAAGTTTAAATCAAGCATCTCACTAAAAGTCGCAGCAAAATTCTCAAAGGTCCTTAGTGCCAGCTTCCAATCTGCAAGCCGAAAGGTTAGAAATTGCTCATCCATTCGTCACCTACAAGTGAATGTTTATTTATATTACTTATAATGGTTCCAGTAGGTATTATATTGTACAAAATAAGCGCATTCAAAATCATTGAGTCACAGTCGCGTAATTTTTCCTTTGTGACAAGTCAGTGACAGTGCAACGAATTACCGATAAAGGTGACACACATATGACAGTGTTTTATGAAAAACGTGTGGGCCAATGATGATACCGATCGGATGCGAGATCACACGTTATCGCCGCACACTTCACTACAGCAGAACATACCTTGTATAAAGTGAAAGACACTCACGGACTCGCCAGGGCAATAACGGAAAATTTAGCAACATGTTACAACCGAACCAGTTCCTCAAAATTCACTTGCAGCGAGTTAAGGGTATTTGTGCCTTACATATTAATTGTGCGTGATAATTCTACAGTCATGTAGAGAAAAGGAAGTGGAGGATAGCTGCTTAACAGAACTCAGCTTATGTAGACATCTCAACAAACCATTTAGACCTCTTAATGTAGACACGAGGGAAACCTCAGCTACACTATGCTTTTTCTTGCTGTTGGCGCTACAGTGCCTCCATACCTCATGCATTGGCTGTGGTTCTTTACTTGGTCGAAACGAAATGGCAAAACCCCTGTCACTTCAATGTTATAAAGCGGAAAAATCGACTCATGCCTACAAGCACAGCAGTTTGAACGTGGGTGTAGGTAATTCTGTTTGAGTAAGCACGAGATACCACAAGAATGTGCTAGCTTACAATCACTTGCATGTTCTTTTGTATTATGTAATCTGTCTTAGCTGCTAACAGATCGATATTTTATTGAACTTCCATTTCTAGTATCTTTTTGGTAGGGGAATGCGCACGCGAGTTATGGTACAGACCTGTACTGCTGTCAGTAAACCAAATACGCAAAATAACTTGTCATCGATTTCAGGTTGTCAAGTCCCTGTATTCCAGGTGTGACACGCGCCGATGTGTTAGGTTCACAATTCTATATACTTTAAGTGCATTTGACCTTACGCAAAACGGATAATTTCTGGAGACCAGATGAATTCAAGATGTCTTGTCAATAAGCCAAGTTTCCTTTTCATAACCGGAAGTTGGTGGATTTAGGTCTCAGCGAGAGAATTTTTTTTTACTTTTTAGCCTACATTGCGTAACTTATTGACATCGGGCAGTACTGTCTCCAAATTCATCCTTGTTAAAAATAGACTTACCAAATTTAGGAGGGTAGAAGGTTGTTTGCCAAGCTCAGTGAATAGCAGGGGATTTGTGCATCGTGTAACACAGCCTAGTCCGTTTCGTATAACTTGTTATATCTGCTGATTCGCCAATCTGTTCTATCTGTTGCTGTTCCAGAAAGGAGACACAACAGCTCTATTCCGAACAAGCGAGTGAGTGCGTGCAAGTGCAAAAGTTAAAAAGGCCCTTTACAACGGCACTTTCTGCCGGTGACCCAGGCTGCCTGATAGGGGTTTAATGGACACCCATCAACATCAATCGTGCTTCCATGATATGCCTGAATGCTGATCACATTCGGTCATGTTTCTGTGGCGTGCCTGATCGCTCATCGGCTTTCGTAAAATTGATTGATTGAATGACTAGCCTGGATGCTTACCGCTTTCCTATTTGAGATTTTGGTGGAGTTTTAGGGTCTTAGTGGGTTCCCGGCGTTCCGGGGTTTCTTGATTGATTGAATGACTAGCCTGGATGCTTACCGGCTTTCCTATTGAGATTTTGGTGGAGTTTTAGGGTCTTAGTGGGTTCCCGGCGTTCCGGGGTTTCTTTCAGGAACCCGACCTTCCTAATATAACTAGAAACACGGTCACGGACGCTCAGAAAAAGGCAACCTCAAACTTACGAATCCTGTGGTTTCAAGGTGAGCTAAACTCAACTTGCACTGCACGCTAAGTAGTTCGGACAGACCAGCGAAAGTGTGACAAAATCGATCGGTCTGCAACTGTGTTCCTATAAAGCATCCGCGCTTCTCGTAAAACAAGACAAAGTAAAACCGACAACTGACACAAAGCTAATCGGATAATGTATCTGAATAACTGTTCGCTTCATTTTCAGAATCGACTGAGGAATACGCTTAAAGAAAAAGCCAAACAAAATCGGTGAAAGGCTGTTATCATGCCGATGGTTATATCGAATCAAAAAGAATGGAAACAGTTAAGGACCCACTGCGTCACATCGTTACGGTGCAGACAGTAATGTGAATGTCCTGTCTATTGTGCTCATGAAAAGGCCAAAACCCGGAAACCATTATCTGTAATAAAAATATCCACATTCTCGGTAAGTGTCAGTACACTTATCCAGTGAGCTTTAGAAACATGTCACTTTGTCACCAGATATGTTGCATATAACCTAACATGATAAGAGCCTTAGCAACACACCCTAACTTGATCCACACCTAAGCAAACAATCAATGTTCACCGCCATAGCTGGGGCCCGGAAAACTGAGTTGAACGCATTTGGTATACGAATGTTTTAGTTAAAAGTTCTCAACAATGTTCGTTCGCCCCCTGATTTTTTCCCAATCATTTTCAGTAATGGTTGGTTGTTGTCCATAAAACAACGCTGTGATGCGAGCTTCTAGGGTACAGTGAGATTTGAAGTAAGCTAGCCATTGAACGTACGTCCTCCCTGGATTGGCCACTTTTTGTAGCAGTCATTATTTTTGTGGTTCCCCCAAAATCTCGCTTTCTCGTAGTGCTCACTCCTCTGGGGACTTACCCTCGTTGTACCATGTGCTCCGGTCAAATCCGAGAAGTGGCAAATTTTTTGTCTGCTCGTCACATCTCCCAAATCTGTGTGTTTGGATTGCACAATGAAGCAGTGAGTAATCTTGGGTTCTCGGCAATCTAGGTGCGATTCTCCGTCGAAACACTGGTGACCGAATCAGACAACCGTAATACTACTCGTAAGTAGCCGGAAGGCTGTGCCGCAGATGATCTAATAATCAATAACTGGCTTATTACAACCATTAGTATTGAGCTGCAAAAATCGTTGCAGAACGCGTAATCTACATGCAGTCCTAAGCCATGCGAAGCAAAGCATGGTTTTTACACCAACTGAAGTTGTGAACTATATTATAGTGCCTCCGCGATCTGTCATGTGAGAAAGTTCTAGTACTGGCTCTGTGTATAATAAATACTTGCACTTATAGAAAAATGGATTCTGTTATGTGATCAACCTATACTGGTGTGAGTGTCGGTTCACTCTATATTCTAGCGCTGCTTTGGCATACTCATAACGAATTTTTCTCAACTGGTGACAACAATGAGTTGTTTTGGGGTTTATTTCTCGAAGATCATGGGCTGGCCTCTTCTCCGCCGACTGTGTATGATAGGTTATTATCAGGAAATTCATATTCCTGACCCTAACCCCAGAACACTCGGAACCTACTGAGACCTTTAAACTCCACCAAAATCTCAATGGGAAAGCCGGCAAGCATCCAGGCCGATGAAGCATTCAGTCGATTCAGCAATAGCTGAATTCAAATAGCGTGAGTTCCCTTGTAAGTGGTGCACTTGCACGCACACGCTTGTTCGCAATACACCTCTTATGTTCCCTATCGGTGAGTCTTTTTCCGGCACTAGGCACTGGAATGGGAACAGCAGTCAGCTATAACAGTTATACGGTAGGCACTGTGAAATTAGGCGAAAGTGTGTTCAGTCTAGACAGGAGGCAATCAACATGTAGTGATGAGATTTCTCGGTGGAATAGATGCAACATTCCTTAAGAGAACAGCGCCCAAGTTAAGCACGAAAATCATCATATTGTATGAAATGCATCGGGTTATCACGGAAACCGTCCGCGCTCTGCTGACGACAAAAACAGTGTGTGTATGTCTCGGAAACAGTCCAATTTGGTTTCAAGTAGAACATAAGGTTGATGGAAACTCGGGGACCGCGCCTACCTGATGAGCCCCAAGAAGAGCGGAGCCGGTCGTGGGCTGTCAAAGAGTTTTCAGCAACTTTGTGAGTAGTTTCCTTCATGAAAACAGTCTGCCTAGTCAGTCATGCTTCCCACAGGAAACAGCACGCAAGCCATGATCCACGTGTGCACACCATTCGGAATATATAAACTCGAACCAGATAAAAAAGGATCGGAGACTTACCATGTTGAACGCCCCCACACCAAGACGGACACCGCTTTCGAATACCGCTTTACTTATACCATCCGACCAGTCACGGTACTTGAGTATACCCCAGCATATTCTTGAAGTTAAAGAAGAAACAGTAAGTTATCAGCTGAGAGGTGAAAGAGTAAGAAACGGAACTCAAACCCAACCCAGGGGGATAAACTAGCATGTGAATTCTCAACGATGTGTATAAATTCAGGAATGAATACCGGAACGTCTGCAAGTCAAACTGAAAAGCTTGGTTCCCACAGGAGTCCCTTTGTTTGACTCGGAGCGACTATTCCAAACAGCTTCCGGGCGAATTAAACGTGTTTTATTGTGTTTAAAGTGGCCTAATGGTAAGCCCCTTTTAATCACCTGCTTCACGCATGTACTTTTGCCCTCCACATGTTTGATCAGCTGTTCATACACTCCACTCATCTTGAGTCAAAGGTCGCCCCGTCCGACACTGGCGCACTAGCATGTAGGTATGTGTGTGATTGTGCGCAGTTCGTGGTCTGTTTGCTGAGCCTGCTCTGACCTGTACTGTCTGGGTGATGGTACCGCTAATCAGAATCACGAGACTGTCGTCGGATGGAACGACCGCAACCACACTATACAGCCAACTTCTGCTCGCCGTTATTTGCTTTGCGGATCTTGACACTGCACTGTACCGGTCAGCGACAGCATGGCGCGCTTATTGACGCCACGGAAATGGACAGTTGAGGTGTGTTTTATGATTTCGCTCACTTTTGTGTTAGAGGTACCGTGGACTTTCGAACTTAATTCTTCCCTTCAATATTCGGAATCGTCGAACTTCCGCGGGACTCAAAGTTGCTCATCGGGAAACTCAACATATTTCTTCTGTGAAAAATGTTCCAGTGAAAATGTTGTCGCTCGGGATCTATCCAGAATAAATAACACACTTTTGTAAATTGCCTGTTTATCATAACAGTCCAGCGCACAAATTTTACATCTATACTGCAGCTATGACGACACCTGGACGGTCCAATTCGTATCGACAGTTTCCTAGTCTATACCCCTGTACATTGTACGCAGTTGAACTCTATGAAAACTTGATTACTATCTGACTCTTGGTAATCCCCAATACAACTCGACTTCAAGGGAAGCATTATGTAAACTGTTATGCCTACTTGTGTGGAGAATAGCAATCACACACCCTCCGGAAAATAGTCACACCACCAGAGAGCTCACAGTGATGGCCTCCATTGGCTCTGGTCGGGTAAACATTCCCAAGAACAAAATGTTTCAAAGAAATGACTAATACAATCTGTGGGCAATTTTCTCATGGATCTTTTCCAGATAAGCCTCGCCACCAATGGAAAAGGTGTATGTGCGAAAAGTCAGGCTCTGTCAATTTTGTCAGCTCTAATTTAACGTACGCACACAAACTTAACCTATTTTTGATTATAACAGTTCCTTATCCGAATCTAGGCTCATTTTGTGCAAAAATTTCCCCGTTTGGACGTAAAACCCTAAATGAGATTTCTGACTCTTTCAACTCTCGTTCACGACAAAGAACGGCAATACGTGTTTTGCAAAGCCACGGAGTGATCCATCAGCAACGGTTATGCAACAAAGGCCATCAAATGACACTTTCAACTGTTTCTGAGAGGTGGAGTTGTAATGAAGGACAGTGTCGGTAAGAAATCGGCCTTCGAAAGGGAACTTGGCTGGAGTGGTCTAGGATGGAGCTTAGGACAGTAATTCTATTCATTTATTGCTGGTCCAAAAATTTGGTAAAAACCAAATTCTGCTCAGAGGAATTATCTATTAGCCACACGACCGCTGTTGACTGGAAAAACTTTCTTCGCAAAGTTTGCGCCTGGCGGCTTTTGCAGACTCCAACAGTTACCGGTAGCCCAGGTCTACACTTCGAGATCGATGAAGCGCTAATATCTCGCCGTAAAACCCACGCAGGGCGAGTCCTTCCCCAGCAGTGGAATTTCAGAGGGATCTGCCAGGAAACTAAAAAGGTGTTCAGATATGCAGTGCCAGGTCGAACTGCGGCCACTTTGATGGACACAATCTAGGCCTGCATCACTCCCGACTCAATCACCACCTCCGATATGTGGACATCTTACCAAGGAATTGAAGTGATGGTTGAATCTCTTTGGCAAGTCTACAAGATGCAGAATAATCGCCAATGTGGCACACATCCATCTTTAGCGGTCAGCTACTTGTGTGAGTTCGTTTGGAGGCAATGGTACCGAAAAACCGAACTTTTCATGCAAATTAATAATGACATGTCCCAATTTCACCTTCTTCAATAAAAAATAAAAGTACATATTCCATATCCTCTTCTACCTGATCTTTTTGGATGGCGGGGGTTATTTTTAGCGGGGCTTATCTGGAAAAGATCCTTTTCTCACCTATTTCTGAAGTCTTTGTTTTATTTTGGACAGATTATGCGTTGGCATGGTATGCAGTCGACCCAACAGTGTTTGAATATATCGAAATATTAGAAACTCTAATGCCTTCATTGGTCTTTGCACCAGGCAGCCGTTGATCTGTTCGTCCAGCTTGGCACTTTTCTTCAGGACATTTCGTCACCAGTCTCGAGAGTACCCACTCAACCGCACAGTGGTGATCTACGCATGACTGGTGGGAAAACCTCTGCAAGCTCGGCGAGCAGATCAACAGCCATCTGATTTAGAGTCAGCTGTTTCACAATTCAGTAAAAAAGTGATATTGAAGGGAATACTACTTAAACTACGAGGTCACTTTGAATTCTCAGCAGAGCAAACGGTTGTCCTGACAATCCACTTCGCGGAAAACTCATCGCCACTGACAAATCTCCGAAAAGCAATTAATTACTTTTGTTTGGCCTTAGTAGTTTGAGGGCTCAATTGGAGGCTAAACCAGCTAGACGCAACAATGCAAAGTCTTCATCGGTTTCCGCCGCTGCTGAATACGATAGAAATAACAGAAACTTTCACTGGACTCTCTACCCTTTTCAATAGAACAGCTGACATGGCGACAAAAGAATAGTCTTCAGTTGGCATCCTGATGAAAGACAAGAAACTGTGGAGGTTTACCTCACACCATAGAAGAATTCTGCTGGAGTGAAACTGACTCCAAGATAAGGGTATGTTTTCACCTGCTTCATGAAAAAAAGCACTGCTAGTTGTAGACACAAGACGTCGAAGTGAACGGTTGCACGCCTGAAACAACAACGGCTACTATCCAAAAAAAACAGGCAATAGTTACAAAAGTGCTCTCTAGGTCATGTCATGTTAACTCTGTTACCCATAAATGCGGCAAAGTCTGAACAGGATGAGCAGAAGGGATCTTGGAAGCATGCATCAAGGGACATGTTTACAAGTACGTCCATCTAGACTAACTGACCCTTGGTTGTCGAACAATAGATTCGGCAACAAGAGACCTTGTTAGCTGCTTTTCTTTCAATCCCCGATTGTTTCATGTGCTGAAATAAATGCGCGTCATCAGGAAATCGCAAGCGTGACGTTTTGTCTGCCCTGAGTCGAAGTGGCCAAACGGGACATTGTGTACATTTTTGTTATTAGCGAAATGCCCTCAGTTGCAAACAAATTTGGTTTTGTGAAATATTCATCTGAAACCCGGCTGAATCTCTCATTTGTGATGCTTCCAGGCAATTGGATGTGCTGCACCGGGCCGCCTCATGTTCCAGTTTCTACAACATTCGAGATATCGCGACACATGTATGACGTAATGCACTACTCATAAGGTTGCTGAAAGTTTCACCCTTTTTGGGTCACATCAGGTGGGCGCAGTTCCCGAGTTTTCGTCAGTCTCATTCTCTACTTGATATTACATGGCACGGAATAGGCGAAATGCATCACAAACGAGAGATTCATTTGGGTTCCAGGAGAGTCTCTCGCAAAACCAAATTTGCTTGAAAATGAGGGTAGTACGCTAATTCCGTGCAATTTGGTTTCAAGTAGAACATGAGCTTGACGGAGACTCGGGAACTTCGCCTAAATGCTGAGCTCCAAAAAGGGTGAAACAGGACGTGGGCTGTCCAAAAATTTTCAGCAACATCATGAGTAGTGCATTACGTCTATTCTTCTTATGTTTTTTTTACAAGTGAATCAATATATGCCTATACGCATCAGTTATGCAACAAGCGTTTTATCTGAAAATATTTGAAATCCAGAAAATTGATTTTCTTTCGTTTTTCCCATTCAGCCACATATGCTAATCGGAAAGTTCGCCAAAAAGGAAACTCCCTTCGCATGTCAGTATCCCTTCACAAATGAGGGAAACAGGCTTATAGACGGTTCATCCCATGCCGTTATGAAACAAAATCTGGAACATTCCAGTTGTGTTGCTGTTTACTCTCCGTCAGCTCCTCTTCGTCACACCTAGGAAATCGAATGAGGATCTCGTGGGTTCGTTTTGTAAATTAATCTCCAAAACAGAATGTATTAATCTAGCAATCGTGAGAAACGATGCGCGAATGCCAGCTTCGTGGACTACCGTAAACTGACTTCAAAAAGGATATCGTCTATTTTTGGGGTGAAACACAGAATCCTGGATGAGGTTAACGTCTAGAAGTAAGATACTGCACAGTTCTGAGCTGGATTCAAGGTGGAGATGCCTTAAAGGAACGAAACACGATTGAAGAAACCTCCAGTGAGTGAGGTTGATCTTCTAGGCATCGGATTTTTAATAGTAGCAATATTATTTACTCTGTGGGGTTGTTTTTTTTACAGAGAAGAGTTGCTGCAAATCCAGCTCCTGTTTCTGTAACGTTTCCGTCTTTTTTCACCTCAGGATGCATTCTGTTTAAAATCTGCACAGGTTTGCATCAATTCGTTCAGTTTACGGTCTTGTGATGACGTAAATTTATGATGACCAATCCTTTACTTTCAACAGCAGTACAGCGTGTACGATCCTCTCGGTAATTGAGTGGTTATATACTCTTGTAACCAATACAGTGTGCTGTTTTAGGTTATCGTCACCCTCCATGAGGTCAGAGAATTATTTGGATTAGCCCAAAAGTTAACGGAATGCGAGTGAAAGAGAGAGAGTATATTGTGAACAACACATGATTGGATTAGCCAGCTTTATTGATCGCCGCCAAGTGGATCAATACACACCTTGGCAGACGGTTGCCTGGAATAGCGCCATGCACAAAATCCAACCAACACATCCACATGCAATTTTAAGTAGACAGCTCAAATTCCTAAATAGAAATACCCATACCATGAACGATTCCTGTTGGCGTGAATGTCTGATGATTGTGACACAAAGAAAAGAAGTAGCCATTAACACCATCTTGTTGTGCTTACCTGTAACACTTATAGCATTGCCGGACCTTAAGGGAAGAACGTATGAGGCTGGTGAACTTGTCGTCTTGAAGCATGTTCAAAAACGCAAGCTGCAAGAGTGCTTCAGCGTAGCACAGTTCCGCGTGAGCTTGCTCTGGAAAAAATTATAAAACATGTGGTTAATTGTTGAATTCCGTAGATAGGCGAATTTCGGAAGTCTTACAGAAGCTTGTGGATGGTTTCTGACGGTTCTTCGGCGATGCCAAGAGGCTAAACTGTAAGTCTTAGGTTTCACCATGCATGCAGTGTGCCACTATTCCAGTCGAACAGTACAGTCCGTGAACGGTTCCGTATGAATAATAATAATAATAATAATAATAATAATAATAATCAAACAGCATGCACGTTCAACACCGATGCCGTAAATGCCATGGTTGTACGTGGGCTGGGATACTGTCAGGGCGCCCACACCTAGACAGAAGGATGATTAGGTTCCTTAGCCAAAGCCTTTGGCTCAAAAGCCCAACCGTAAGGCAGTGGTGTGTGGATGGAAATACAAATGCATTATCATCCCTAGGGAACAAGTCGCCACATGTCCCAACACCCATCCTGGAGGACCAGGAGACTGTGTTTTTTAGACCTCCAACGATTGACCAACCTGGTATGGGAGACCCTGTTAGTGTTGCGGGGACACCCCCCGGTATAGCTCAATGGATCGCTGAGGTGCGCAAACCGTCACACTACGGTAAGGTCCAGTCTTTTGCTGACGGGTTGCGAATGAAACAAACTCGTGTTCTTCCTTTTTTTTACTAACCAGACAAATCGACCCCAAGGGTACAACTACTGTCCAGTTTGTCCGCATGTCTGAACGAAATTCCCCAGCAAATTAGGCCCTGCACAAAGTAGAAAAATTGGAAAACCGGGTGGCCCCGTCTTGATGTGAACTAGTAACAGATATTAAGCAAATATAATTAGGACCAAGGTTACCTGTCTCACTTTTTCACTGGGGTGATTCACGACCATATCAGGACGCCATTAATTGGGTCGAATTTAGCCTAGGCCAATCGGTCACAGCTTTCCACCTCCAAGAAATCGTGGTGAACTAGGCTGAGAATGACTCAGATGAAACGATTACGATTACGTTGACCGTTGGCCTCGGAGAAAAAATTTCCATGATAACGACAGCTATTAGGAGCTCGGTGATTACAGTCTGTGTGTTTACAGACAGGCTCTTCCATCCTACTTCATACGTTCTGATGAGGCTGAACTCTAAAACTGTTTGCTCTCTATTCAAACCGATTGAACCTAACAAGTCAAAGGTCTGCAAATGTTGCGCTTTTTTGGCATTTTTATAGATTTCGGTGCACACGTGTCCTTCCGAGATCATAAGTTGATTTCAATTCGTCGCTTGTAGGTGGCATCCATGATGCCTGGAGAAAACTGTGCAATCTGTGTTATCACTCATCGATCACTGAGGTTTTTTTCACGCAGATATCACACCTGTGATTAGACTGTACCGTACTCAATAACCGCATCAGGATGATGCGGGTTAAAACCTTCAATTATTTTGAACACGAGTGTGCAATCTAAATGGTCGTTTGAATCAGCTGTTGACTGTTATTGGCCGGGAAGCTTTTTGAATCGGCTCCCAAACTATTGCTTGACGGTTGCTAGACGTGATGTGACAGGCCAGTTAGTAGTGTGTCTCAGTGGTGTGTGCAGGCGTTATCCTAACCCGAGAACTTTGCTGTCATACGTGCTTGACCCATGGGGGTAAAGGGCAGAAGGATCGTCCTTGAGTGAACTTGAAGGCTGTCATCTATATTCGTTCACACACAACATCCATGATTAAACTTAACCGTAACAGGTCCTGGTAAACAGTCTTTTCCAAAGCACTGTCGATGCTAAAGGGCGGTGTATATGCAGACATTCTTCTTTCGGCTGAGCTGCAATGGGTCAACGGGAAAGTCATGACCTTCCAAATGGATGAACAGTGTGGTCTTAGGGATAACTTGTCAGGAAAAAGTTAGGTTAAGAATAAGTCATTGTGGCGCTGAATTAGACTAGAAGTTTAAAACGCCCTTGTGTAGATAAACTAAGTGTATTCATCGCACATAAATAGTGTTTTTCCTCGGTTGGCAAAACTTGGTTTTCTTTAGGCCGAGTGAGCGTCTACCATATCTTGCTACGACGCTGAAAGAAGCTGTAGTCAGTTACAGAGAGTGAGATAATGGAGAAATGAATCACGTTTATTCGGGCTTATCACTATCTTCTGCGATGGAGTTAAAACTAGGGATTTGCGGAGCATTTTAAAATGAAATACCCGAAAGCACAATTGTATGAGCCAGCGCCATGACGGATACGCACAACTGATGTAAGTCATCAGTAGTACCATCTCCACAAACTATGAAGGATGGGGCTCGTAGCTGACCCGAAGTTAAGCCATTCTAGTAAGTGCGCCAACTTTCTTGAGCCTCTTTAGTGATGCAGCACATCGTGACAATACTCGATGGTATCTCTGATTACGTTTAGTTTTCACAAATGAGGTTTTCATCTTGTTTCTTCTTGTTTGTTTTCAATACAGGGCGGTTCAAATTTAGCTATGGCCCCTGCCCGGAGCTTTTGAACTACTTGGGCTCAGCGAGGCTTGGGGCGTTCCCCCGATTGTGTAGGGTGCTTTTTGGATAACAATTCCCGACTTACTGTACACGCCAATACGACGTAATATTAGTTCATTCCGAATTTCTTCAGATAATATATCCTACGGCTGCAAGAGTGCCAAATACTAATGTTTAATTTGAGGACTCTGTAAGTGGCTTAAATCTTGTTACTAATGGAAAAAGGATATCTGAGGCAAATAGAAAAAACGTTACAGCTAATGTGAGTGAAACTTAAAGTCGGGTAAAAAATGAGTAGTGGCACATGTCTCCTTTCGCAGCCATTTTGGACGTCGCAGTTCACAGAAACGGAACACTTCCCCCACTGCGTAGGTTAGTTCAAATAGAGAACTAAAAAACAAACACTAGCAAGTTTCGTCTCGTCAGCAGGAGGACGTTTATGCGTGGGAACGACGAGACGTTGAGACTTTTTGTGGAAAACTTCGTGAATTATTGAGACAGAAAAATTTGCATAACTTCACAAGGGATGGAGCTTATTTGTCTTACCGGTTAGCTGCTAGCTGCTTTAAACAAACTGTCATGTATAATGATTGGTGGCGATTTCCCGCGCAGAGTATAAACTGTTAAAAGCTTTCTTCGATCAATAATTGTTGCCTACTAAAAGTGTGTCTGGGACAGCATGATACATGAAAAACAAACTAGGAAAGGGAAGCAATCTAAGGGGTTGCAATTCATCTGCACAGGGTTAAAGGAACAACCTTCGGTGTACTCCTTGTAAATTGCTATCCGCTTTTTTGGAAGCTGCTTTGTGAAGACTTCCGCGAATGCGGACTTTCGTCTGTTTGTATTGCACGCGGCCAGTGTGCGACGAATGTGTTCTGTTGCCAACGTGAGATGTTCCTATGAAGGTTGAAGAGTGGATATGGTCATATCATTTTTATCACACGGGTTGATGAGCATGTGAATAGTAATACACCTGAAATATATGGGCAGTCGTGTCCTTGAACGAATAAGATGGGCTTTGCCTTCGGACGACAGTAGGTAGAGGTCACACACCGAAGTGGCAAATGACCGATTATACCAACATGCAGACAGGCATGTAAGTAACCTGCAAGTGAGTTTGCAAGGATAACAGATTGTAGAAGTTGGTGACTAACATAAGCTGTCGAAGACAAAAACAGTGGTTGAACATTGCATATGTGAACATGCATTCACTTTGGCACAGCACGTATTTCACCATCTTGTTTCGACGGCATGACACTCCACCACGAAAACTAATGTTGACTGCGGGTTTGTGACTTATCAGGGCCGAACGACGCACAAATCTCGAAGAATATTCGGGTCTACAAGATTCCGAATGGGAGCTGACAACGATGGATGATCAGCAGACTGATTTATTTAACCTCAGTCGGGATGAAAAGTCACTGATCCTGCAACTGCGCGATTCACGCCAAGCGACATATGATTGCATGCTACTCGAATCGAAACCTCTGAGAGAGAACGCCGAGGAATGTAATTGTTACTTTCCTAACAAAACTGACTTCACATCCAAATTGTGTACATTGAAATTTCACATTGTTTCACCTGAATCTTGTCAAAACGTTTCCTTTGTGCCCTTGATTCAAGAAAACAAATCACTACATATGGTATGATTATTTTGCAACATTTAAACGTAGGCTGATTGTAAAGTATAGCAAAGATGTGGTCGAACAGGTCGAACGGTACACGAGCACCTTTGTCCCTACAGAGACTGACAAAATAGGTATGGGATCCGGGCACGCGATCACTTGATTTCCGGTCCATTTGCTGAACGATTTATGCAGTCGGTGGATTTCAGCCAGGTGATAAACTTGGTTTGAAACTTTGGCGTAGTTATTTTATCATCTGACTACCGGTAGAGTGTTCGTTTTAATGAGATTTTAGTTTTCGGCCGCTATATCTTGCTGCAAGTGAGGTCAATCCATGCTGATGGGCCTATAGGTACTGCGAAACTAATTCTTGCTCATAAAGAATCGTCAGCAGTGCAAATAAGACGAATCTTTAGGGCGGTTCAACTCCCAGGACTTACCGGTTCGTAGTTGAAACATATACGGTTTGTGGCTGGTCAGCAGGATAGCCCAATACCAACTAGTTAGTCACGGAACTCATGCGTCCATCATTCGATTGGCTCCCACAAGTGACCTTGTAACACTATTGACCAGCCAATTGTGACCGGATGCTAAGCACTCTGACACTAACCGGAAGGCCCCAGGTTTGAATCGCCCCAGACTTACGCACTGATATTGATTCCCAACAAGGATGAAGAAATGCACAGCAGGAAGCATGTCTTATGCGTAGGGTGAAGCGGTGACAAATACTGGTGAGTAGTATGGATATTTCCTGCCTCAACGGTTAGGGATACATGTGGGCGACTGAGCATCCGATCAAATCCATGGTCAAACTGAGAACGGGGTTTGTTGATCTTCACACACTCCACCAAAATCGATGATCGTCCAGATAACGCATCCTGACAATGTACGAGTAGATGGATCATTTTATAGAAGCCTGATTGATTCCTTACGAGTTTCATGCCCTTGTAAAACACATGCTCATATCTCTGGGCGCTATACAGATGGGGCGATGGTCACCAGATGATGGACACATTACTACCGGTGTAACGGTGATACTACTGATGGGAGAGGCATGCGAGTAGTAAGTTTTCTTGTAAATTCACCTTGCGTCTCTTGAAAAGTGAAGTCTATTGCGGGATATGTGGAGTCGCCTTGTAGCATTTGCTTGCGTTTGCGTAACAGTCAATGAATATTCAGGAAAGTTCAGAAAGACGCGTTCAGTTTTGGTTAACAAGATGCATATGAGAGTTTTACTTCCCTGTCCACTAGTCTCTAACTGTTCAGTTGACATTTTCCAATCAATAACTCCGCAGCGAAGGCCTTCTTACTTTCACCAATGGGATGAGTTTACAACATTTCAGACTCACGAGCAGAATAGTCACCGATGGAACTAGGAATCCGACTAGTTACACGCTCAAAGTTCTGCTGGGACCACCATCTGTTCTCTCACTAGCTGAATGATGATAATGGTTAGTGGTTGCATATTCGGTATTTTAAACTCGGACTAATGTTTACCATTTGTGCGAGACCATAGACACTGTTAGAACCACGCTTGGGAAGTGAGCACATTAGTAATATGGTCATCTATGACTCAAACAGGAAGCCGATCAAAATCAGTGTCGCTTCAGACGATCCCATGGAGTATCAATTAGTGGGCGGCACTGACTGCGTTAGTAGTGGCAACGGTCAGATAGCATAGGTGCACTGTATCTTCACTACTGGTATTTTACGGACACATAGTGGTCAGCTGTCAGCCACCCACACGACGACTTCTCCACGGCTGATGACGAAATGTTTTCCGGCCAATCACCAAACACACCACCCACTTTATCTGCAACCAATAAAAAACACCCAACCTACCAACATTTCGGCACACTGAATTGCTGGACTCTTTCATATATACTTCACATGATATTTCAGACAGTTCTTCGAACAGTTTCGTCGTCGCTTTGCGCACAAGGGTCTGAGAGACTTCATCCATCTGATTCTATTTTATCTCAGTTGCTGCTGTTTGTCTGGCTGTACACCACCTATTAAAAGGTGGAAGCTTTTGAGGGATAAATTTTCACCCGGTATCTGTGTCAAAACGACGTCAAACTGACGTTTAACGTGTCTATACGTTATTCTCCCGAGAACAAGGTACGTTGAACAAACAACTCAGTTCACAGTGTAATTCATTGCTGTTCGTGACCGCTTGTGATCAGTTCCGCTAAAACTGGTACATATGTTCGTGTACTCATCATCCAGTGTTTGTTGCTGAGATAGCGCAACACAGGCCATCGAGTTTTTATCAAGTCAATTTGTCCAGTTAAGTAGTGAGTTTTTTATAGTTGAATCCCGCGATATTTATCAGGGTCGAACAATTCCAGCATGCAAAGCCTTGGTCGAGCCTATTTTCATGCTGACTGCTCCCCCGAAAAGATTTGACAGTGAAAATCAAGAATCGGAGTAATAAATTCTCCTACATTAATTTATTTATTTTCTTATTTATTTTATTTGTTTATTTTATTTATTTTTTCATCTCACAATATAGTATTTATCCTTGCTGACAGCCCCACCCCGCACAAATAACACCTCGCTAAAAGTAACATAGCGTTAGGATTTCAGAGAAGTCCAAAGCCTCAAAACAACCCCTATCCCACCTGAATATGATGGGAGTTTGGTGCACGAATCGGTACATCCAAGAGAAACTCACAGTTCTTTTAGATTGACACACTGAAACCACTAGTGCAGTAGCAAACGTTTACATTCTGATTCCACTTGTCTGCGGCTACATTCTTCACTTGCTGATAAATCATTTTGAAGCGCTTTGTTCTACAGAGTCCAAAGGATCACCCTGAAATCCTTCGTCAGGTTTACAAGGTACGTATATGTGGATTGGTTTTGAAGCATACTGATTAAAGACTTAAGCATTCAGAGACTTTTTGTTTGATTTAAGAGCGAAAATTCAGAGTTATCTATGTGTTCTTGTGATATTTTACATTACATTCGAGCAGACATCAACCCCTAAGTGTTACTTAGTAAGTTTTTCGTCGATGTGTTTCACGCAATTGAATGTGAGGCGAATCGGTTTGCGCAAATTTATTTAGGTTCGTCAGGAATTTCGATTTCTTAATCCAGCTCGGCACAGAAGCTAACGATAATTTATTGGATGGGAGTCAGCGCAACGGCAGAAACTGTCGCCCGTCCTCGTTGAACAGTATATGTTGCTAAATCTGACCGTGGATAGCATACCAGAGGGCACCAATTTATACGCAATATCAAATTTTAGACACTTCTTTCAAAAGTGATTGATTATTGGTAAGGCCTGGCGGGAATCCATTCCCCCTGAATTACAGAATATAAAAGGTCCTGGCATGGTTTCTTATCCAACAGATTATCAGCAAGCGAGCCTAAATAGAGCTATCGTGAATTTTACCAGTTTTCTTTATTACCACAGGCTGTTTGGTCACTTACGCTTCCTCTGTTCAGTGATTTTTACCACAATCCAATAAAAAATCAGGCTAGCCTAGTGTTTTGCATAAGAAAACTAGATTTCCACCAAAGAAACTACTCATTAGGTTGCTGAAAACTCCTTGAGGATTATCATAAACGAGAGATTTAGCTGAGCCTCCCGTGAAAGCCAAATTGATATGAAAATGTGTGTATTTGTCCAGAATAGATTATCGATGAATTTTTTACTCACATCATTCTCGTTTGAAGAGTCCCCCTCTTGTCCTGGCGCAATCACATCCCCCGAGCAATAAGATGTTTCTCTTTTCGGGTGCGTACGCCAATGGAGCAGTGGTCCAACGTTCTCTTCTCAGTTCGTATTTGCCGGGTTCAAATCCAGATACGGTCAAGGACATGCATTCCGAACGAGAACTAACAACGGCAAAACGTCTTCTCTCTCTGGTACGAATTTACCAGAATAATTGCGCCAGGACAATCAGAGGACTATTCAAATGAGAGTGACGCAAATTGAGGCCAATTTCTGATTATTATAATGCATTGTGAAGAGGTAAACGTAGGAAATTGGATCTGCAACCACTATGACACCGTGGAATCCATTTTTATCTCAAATTGCATTTACGGACGGATATTTTCAAATCGGCGTCAAGATACTGTGGCTTTTAATTCTAAAACCCCTAGAGTGTGTATACGCGACTTTATGTTTACCAGATGCACTCTACTGGCGCAAGAGGGCAGCAAAGAACTACAGTACCAAGCCAGACGAATGCAGCCAATTCTGATCACGAAACACTCCACCATCAAAGACGGAAACACGACGTCGCATGTTTTCGCGTTTCG